AAGGTAAATAGTAATAGGGTATAAATTTGGCCGATTTACTAACAGCTACTAGCGTTAAAACTATAGCCGTAGCTCTTGGCTATTGCTACTATTGCTTTGCTTAAATTTCTAGCTATTGCTTTGCTTAAGTTCTTAGCTATTACTTTGCTTAAGTTTTTAGCTATCGCTTTGCTTAAGCTTTTAGTTATTACTATTTTTTTAGCTATTGTTATATTTTACGTTTAACTTTAATTTATAATTAACTAAGTGTTGTTACTAATAAATAACGTAAAGGTTTACTATATTATTATACTTTTAATATTTATACTAATAATTTTAAAAAATATTATAGCATATTAAACAATAACGGTCGAAAGATATATTCCGGTCGAAAAATATGTTCTAGTTAAAAAATATATTCCGGTCGAAAAATATATTCCGGTTAAAAAATATATTCTAGTTAATAAATATATTCCGGTTAACAAATATATTCTAGTTAAAAAATACTAAAATATTCGGCTTAAATATATTTAAATTAGTATTATTAGTAAAACTTAGGTTGTTTTAGTTATAATTTTTAATTATAAAAAAAAGACTAGCTTAGCGGTTATTTTAGCTAAATAGGTTTAAAATTAAACGTTTTTTTTAAGCGGTATAAATTTTTTAATAAATTAAAAAAGTAAATAATTAATAGTTTATAAATAATACTATTATATAAACCGGATTAGTAGTTAATAAAGGCCTAGGTAAAAGTATTTAAATAATAGTATTTTAGTAATAGGTTTATAAAGCTATAAATAAATATAATAAAGCTAGCCGATCTATTGCGTTATATATATATATACCGCAAAAAATATTATAACTTAAAAAGTATTTAGAAAAATAGTTTGCAAAAATATTAAACCTTTTAAAATAGATTATAAATAGCTTAATATATTATTATATTAAGAAACTAAAACGTAAACATTAAATGTTAACTTATAATAATAAAAATAAAAATATATAATTAAATAGGTTAGTTAGGTTTAAATATTATAGTTAGCTTTTATTATAGACTTTGCTTACTTACGTAATAACCCTTTTTTTTAAAATAAATAATATTATTTTATTCTTTATAAAGCAAATTTTTTAAATTAGTTTATACTAGTTTTTATAAAACGATTAAAAATATAGCTAGCTGTTTAATACTTAACTTTTTTTTTTTAAACATATTAAGTTTTAACTTAGTATTAATTTTGTTTAAAACTTTTATATTTATACTTTTAATTTATATAAAGCATAATATTAAATTTGTTCGAAATATTTAAACAATTAATCTATTAATTTATAGTATTTAAGACTAAGGTTTAAAAAGTATTATAAAAGTTTTAAAGTATTAAAGGCTATATTAGGCTAGGTAATTACTGTAGCGTATATAATCGGTTTTATTTTTTTTTAATATAAATAAATTTTATGCTTAGTAGCTAATTTAATATATAAAAGTAGTTTTATTAAGTTTATTAAAATATAGAGTAAAAAAAAAAATATAGTTTTTAGCTTAAAGATTTTTTTTAAATATAAAGCTTAAAATAATTATATTAATTTTTTTTAACAATTATAAATAATTTTAATTTTTAAGAACTATTAGAAATTATTGCTACTAGTTATTTAATAAGCTTACTAAAGCTATTTAATAGCTTTTTAAGCTATTTGTTTATAATTTTGTTTATAAACAAGTATAATATTATTAATATAAATAAAAATAAGCACTTTTTTACGTAAATAATAATAAGGCTTATAAAATATAGCTTTATAGCTTATTTTTATAAAAGTAAAAGTTAGCTTTTTTTACTAAAATAAAAATATTTTTTTAAGCTATATAAAACTTTATTAAGCTATAATATAGTTTATAGTTTTTTATAGCTTAAAAATATTTTTATATAAATTTTTTTATTAAGTTTAATGTTTATAAACGCGTTAACTATATTATACTATTTTAGTTTAAAATTAAACTTAGTAATAATTGCTATATAAGTTTTAAAAAATTATTTTATAAAAATAAATATATATATAGCTTTTATAATATTTTAAAGCTATTAATTTTTTCGAACTATTAGTTTTACTTTATATTTTATATAATAGTTATGTTTATTAAACTTATATATATATATTTATATATAGCTAAATATTAGCTTTTTTTATATAGTATTTATATTAATTTTAGTTTATAACTTTATATTTTAATAGCTTTATAAATAGTTTATTTTAGCTTATTTAAAGCTTTTATTTAAAAAATATTGTTTAAAATTTTTATAAAATTTTAATAAAAAAAATTAATTTTTTTTATATAACTTATATTTATTTTAAATATATTTAAAAAATATTTTTTTTTTTATATATAAAAAGCTTAAAGTTTATAATTTTTGTTTTTTTATAAAGTTATTAAAATAGCTAAGAAATTTTTTTAATAATTTAGCTATTTTAGCTTTGTTTATTACTATACCGCGCTTTATTTTTATAATATTTAAACGTCCGCTTAAAAACGTAGATTTTTAGCATTGTTTAATTTTAATATTTATTGCTTTTAAAAATAATAATAATAGCTTTATAAAATTATTAGCTATTAATAACGCTTTTACTGCTAATATAACTTATACTTTTATTTTTTATAATAGTAGCTATAAATATTATTATTGCTAATATAAATAATATTATTACTTTTTATAGCTTTAGCAATAATATTTACAAATAGCTTTTTTATTTAAAAGTAGCTTTTTTATTTTAAAGTAGCTTTTTTGCTTAAAAGTAGCTAAAAACGGTCCTTTATTTTAGTACGCTAACTTTATAAAATATTATTTTAGTGCGTTTTTTATTTAGTTAAAATAAAGCGTAAGATATACTATTTTATTGTTTTATTTTAGCTTATTTATTTATTAAAAGCTAAAAAGTTTTATTAAATTAGCTTATTTTTATTTAGTTAAAATAAGCGCAAGCTATATTAAGTATTTTGCTATTATATATTATATAGAATTATTAAGCTAATTTTATTTTAAACAATATAATTAATAATATTATATTATTTAATTTTTTATTTAGATTATTTTATTAAATTTATCGATTTAATTTTATTTAATTTAGTTTTTTTAAATTTATTATTATATACGAACTTAAATAAAATACTACTATATAATATTTTAAATATTTAAAAAAAGCAAATAATATTTAAAAAGCAAACCTAGCTTTTTTTTAATATTTTTACGGCTACTATAATAAGTATATTAACTTTAAAAATTTTATACCTTTAAGTATTATTTGCTTTAACTTTAATTTATAATTAAAAAAGTTTTTAAATAGAACTATTATTTTTATTATACTGTTTTCGATTAAAAAGCTTTATATAATTTTAAACAAGCCATAAATATTTACTATATAATAGCTGTTTAATATATTCAATAGTTAGAATATATATAACGCTTTAAAAGTTATATATTTTATGTAGCATTATATATACTTTTTTAACGATTTAGATTATTTAGGCCTTATATATAAAGAATTAACTTAGTAAACTTAAAAGCAAATAAATTTATAATTTAATTTAAAATTATATTAATTAATTATATAAAATAAACTAAAAAAAAAACAAACAACTAATATAGCAAAATAAAAAAAGCAAATAGCAAGTAAAATTTATTTTTAATAAAATAAACAACAATATATTATATATATTGTTTATATTAATAAATAATTTACCGATATATAAAAATAAACTATTTATTATAAAAATATACTATATTTTTTTATATATAATATAGCGCTTACGCTATTAAGAGTATTGTTGCTATTATATTATTTTTATAAGTTTTTATTTTTTTATTTTTTTGTTTTTTTTATTTTTATATTAATTAAATAAAAAAATTACCGTTATTTTAATTTTTAGTTAATTAGCCCGTATTATATATAGCTATATTAATATATTTATAAATAATTTTTATATTATTAAATTACCGATTTTAAATTTTAACAAAAAAAAAACTATTTATATAATAGAATTATTAATATTATAATATTTAAATTAACTAATTAGCTTTATTAAATAGAACAACTTTAATTAATAAAGTATAGTTATTAATATTATAATCCTAAGGTTATAAGGCCTTATAACAACAAATATTATATAATATTTTTATAGTTGTAGTTTTTATAGTATATAATAGGTAAAAGTTTAAATACCTTTATTTTTAACCTTTTTAAATTCGCGTATATATTAAAGTAAATTTATATACTATTTTTAAATTCGTTAGATTAAGCTAATTATAATTATAAAGACTTTTTTATATATATAATTTAATAATAGTAACAACTTTAAAATAGCTAGCGATATATTTTTTATAAATAATATACTCGATTTAAAAAGCTTTTAAATATATATAATAAAGCTATTTAAAAAAGTAATAAGTTAGCAAACAAACAAACAAAATATAGTAACTACTTTTATTATAAAAGCTAAACTGCTAGCTTTAATATAAGCGGCTAAAAAGGCTATATTTATAAGCCGCTTTATTAAAGAGCTAAAAGTTACTTTAAAAAATTAATATATTATAATTTAATATAATAACTAATAAATAATAGGATTAATTATAAAAAAAATAACTACTTTACGTATAAAGCTTCGCTACGTAAATATTTATAATTACTAGCTTCGTTAGGAGATTAAGAAATATATTTTTCGAGTAATTTACGTACTTATAGGCGATATAATTACAAATAGCCCTACGAAAGCTCTAAATAAAGAAAAATAGGATTAATTTTTATAGCAATTAAGGCTTACGAGCACTTACGAAAGTTTTATGTAGAGCTTATAAGCTACCTACTCTAGCTACTATATTACGCTACTTAGCTTATATAATTAATTAAACGATCTTTTTAATAGTGCAGGAAAAGCGCGTAGTACGCTGCTAAATCTAACACTATAGTACTAGCACACTAAAAAAAAAATCGTTCCTATTTGCCTACAGTTTTAAAACAGCAAATAAATAAAAAAAAGCCTTAGTCGAAAATCGAACTCGCGCTTCCAAAAAATCAAGCTTAATATTAAAAAACGCTATAGCTTTTTAAAATTAAACTTAATACTCTAGCGTACTATTACTATACTACTAAAGCTATTTATTATATAAAAGCTATAAAAAAAAATATAAAGTTTTAATTAGCTATAGTAGTATTTACTACTGTTTAAAATCTACTACTACTTAAAGCTACTATAGCTACTATAGCTATAAATAATTTATATATATTTATATTTTAGTAGTAGCTACGGTTAATTTATTATATTTATAAATTACTTTCGATTATAACTATAACTAACTTTGCTTATTAAACTATTAATTTTTAACGCTTTTATATATTTATAGGTCCTGCTATAAATTTAACCTAGAAATTAAATTTTATAACTTATTTATTTAGTTAAAACTTTTATATATAGTTTTATAGCTTTAACTTTAACTTAATTTATATAAAATTATTTAGTTTTTTTAAAAAATTTTACTATTTAAAATTAGCGCTATTATATATAAATATAATATTTATTATAATTAATAAAAAATAATCGAAAATAAATTATTTTTATTTATAACTATAACTAACCCTGCTAGGTTTGCTTGCTACTTAAACTATAAATTTTGCTTATACCGCTTAATTTGCTAAACGTAAGATTAGTTATACTTTTTACTACCGCTACGTATACTACCTTATTACCGTTATTCCTAGCTAAATAAAAACTACTTTATATAATAAAAAATAATATACTTTATATATAAAAATATTTTATACTTTTTAAATATTTTTTAGCTTATTAAATTAAAATATAACAATTTTAGCTATAAATTAAAAAAAAATAAAATATAACCTAGAATAAAATAATAAATATTTATATAATTACGCAAGCTAGCTATATATAAAATAAAACAATTTAAATTTTAACTAGTTGTTACTTTAACTATTAACTAAAAAAGCGTACAAAGTTTAATAAAATAAATTGTTTTTAGTAAAAAAAATAAACCTAAAGCTAAAATAGCTTAGTTCTAGCATTTATATTATTATTTAATTATTTTTAATAAAATAAAATTTTAATAGTAAGCACTATAATAAGCAAAAAGTTAATAATAGCTTTTTAAGCTTAAAATAGGGCGCTTAAGTATATATATTAATTATAAAAAAAAAAAAAAATATATATATATAACTATTATTTTATATTATTAAAATAACTTTAATATAAGCTTGCAAAGTTTAATATATTAAATAAATAATTTATATAAAATATATATATATTAAATATATAAAAGTTTTAAAAAAATTTATACTATAGCTACTATAATTATATTTAAAGCGTTTAAAATAAAGCAATATATAAGCTAAAAGCTAGCTTTTATATTAAAGTTTTTAATATAAATATTATAAAATAAAATATTTTTTATTATATGCGGTAAATTATTAGCTAATAAGCCGAAAATATTAAATATATTAAGCTTTTAATTTAAAAGTAAAAAAAATTGCTTTAAGTAGCTTTTTTTGCTATTTTTAATCCTTTTATACTTTAATTTATATTTAAAGTATAAGGTCCGTAAGTTTAGTTAGCGCGTTTATATAACTATAGTTATTAAAAAATAATAGCTATATATTATTTTTTTATATGTATAATTTTAAATTGTTAAGTTATAAAAAATAAATAAGCAAACGTTTAAAGTTGTTTATTTATGTTTATTTAAAATTAAATTTTTTTTTTTAAGCTAAAACTTAATATATTAATTTATAAAACTTTTTTTTAGCTAATCGTAAAGTGTTAATTTTATAATAATATATAGTTTATTAAACGCTGCTTTTATTTTAACTTAAACGTAAGTATTAAATAGCTAACCGAAGCTAATGCCCGTAATTTACGCAATATTAACAATACGAACAAAATTTATATATATTATTTTAGTATATTAAACAACATTTTTTTTTATATTGTTTTTTTTATATTTAAAAAATTAATAATAAGCTAGCGTAGTATTATTAACGCTTAATATTATTTTTATTAAATTATAGCTTTTAACTTTAACAAAAAGTTTAATACTAATAACTACGAACTTTTTATTGTTTTAACGCTACGTTAAAATATACTTTAAAATAGTTTCCCCGCTTATTATACGCTTTTAATATATTAGCTAAATTAAGCTACCGGTATTTTAGTAATAGTTACGCTTTATTTTTTTATTTATATTTTTTATTTTAACGTTATTGTTATTATTAACGTTTAATAATAGCAGGACACCGTTTTTAAATATTTATTATATTATAAATACGCTAAGTATACTTAGCGCCCGGTATAAAAGCGCTATAAATAGCTAGACCTAGGCCGCTAGCTAGCGGTAAAGCCCTTTTTAGTATATTTTTTTAAAGTACGCCTATAGCTATAACGTTTTTTTTTATACGTTTATAATACTAAATTACTTAGTTTAATAAAATATATAAATTTTACGTTATTTATACTAGTAAAAAAAAAGCTTTTTTTATAAAACTATATATAACAAAAAAAACATATTATAATAAGCGTTTTTTTTTTTAATTTATTTATTAATCTTTTTAATATTATAAAATAAAATAAAATTAATAAGCTTTTTAAAAATATTAAAAAATGTTTTAATATATAAAGTTATATTTTAGTATAACTTTTTAACTTTATTTTTTAGCAGTAAATAGTTTTATTTTTTATTTTTGCTATTATTTTTATTTTTATTTATATTATTATTACTATTATTACTTTCGAACGCGTTCGGCGTAAAATTTTCGCTAAAAGTTAAAATAAAAGCTTTAAAAAACAAAGGGTTCTACTTTATAAACCGGTTATAAATTTTCTACTTTTTAAAGTCCCATAAAACATTTTTTATATTATTAATAGCTAAAATATATTAGCTAAATATTAACGCGGCTTAATATAAATATATACTTTTAATATATTATAAAAACTTTAAGTTATAGTTTTTATTTAAATAAATGTTTATAATAGCTTTTTTTTAACCGGCAAAAATATTTTTATAATTTATATTTATATTTATATTAAGCAGGTTATATAATAAAGCTTGCTAATATATTAGTTTTAATATACAATTTATTTTTTTACGTTATATTTAAGCGTTTATATTAGCGGCCTAAAAAGCAGCATTTTTTTTATTACTATTGCTATTAATAAAATATAGCTGCTTAAACTAAGCTAGATTATTTGCTATTATTAAGTACGCTATTATAATAACAAAAAGCTTAGTAGGTTTAAATAAGCTATAAGCTATTATAGCAACCGTTAAAAATATAGCTTAATATAAAAACAGTTATATAGCTTAACGTAAAAACAGTTATATAAACTAATAATAAATAATTATATTAAAACAGCAAGTAAACTTTTTTTAAATATAAACGCTTATAATATACTAGGATTAATAATAAAAATATATACTATTTAAATATAGTTTTATAAACTTTATTTATTAAGCTAGCTTACTTAGCGTACTTTAATTTTTTTTTTTATTATTATTAAAACTATTACAATTAAATATAAAATTAATAAATAAATAATAAAAAAATAATTTAGCTAGTTATATTTATAATAGTTAACGTTATATTTTTTAATAGTTTTAAAATTTTTTATACCGGTTTAAACCTAATTTAATTTTATTTATAATTAAAAATAAAATTAGCTTTTTTGTTTTAATTTTTAAATTAATTATAACTAGCTTGTTTATAAATATAATAAAATAAAGTCCAAATAAATATATATATTTAGGCGTTAAAATATAGCTATTTTTGTTAAAAGTAAATAGTTAAAACAAACGTTCTAAGGTTAATAATTAAATAAGCGCTAATAATAGCTTTTATATTTTTTACGCAACTTTTTAATAACTCGGCTTTTTTTTTTTTTTTAATTTAGTAGTTTAATTATAGCTTTTATTTTTTATAACGAACTTATAATTTTATTAAATATAAAATCTAAGTATAAATATAACTAAATATAACTATAATCGCTTATTATTTTTTAATTTAACGCTAACCTAAATTTTTAGTTAATAAATAAATAATATTTTAATTTATTATATTAACAAATAAAACATTTAGCAATTTAAACATTAGTTATATTTATTATTATATGCTAAAATTAATAAATATTTTAAATTATATTTATAAACTAAACGTTTAAAATTTATTCGTAATAGTTTATTTATAGCGCTTGTTCGTAGCGATTTATTTATAGCGGTTTGTTCGTGGCTATAAGGTTTATTTATAGCTATAAAGTTTATTTATAGCTATAAGGTTTATTTATAGCGTTAATTTATATTTATATTTGTAGCTACGCTTAGGTATAAAGTACGTAGTATTTTTACGGTTAATATTTATTTATAGCGTTTAATTTAGCCTAACCTAAAAAAGTTCTTTTGTTTTATTTACTTTTAAAAATAAATATTTTAACTTTAGTTTAATTTAACAGCTAGCTTTATACCGGCTGTTTATTTATATAATAAATTAGCTTTTTATTATACTACTATTTAATAAAAAAGTAATTAAAACAATTAAACGATTAAAATAATTAAACAACTAAAATAATTAAATTATTAAAAAGCTTTAATTTTATATTTTGTTTATGTTTATAATATAGTTAAACGAATATTTTTTTAATATTTTTTTTAGCTTTTATATTTATTCCTAGTTAGCGTATTAATATTTAATACTATTAATATATTTTATATAAACGAAAATTTAAAAATTATTTATAAAAACTTTATAAAACAACGTTATAGCCAAAAAAAAATAATATTAAAAAAAGCGTATAAGCTATACGTTAACTATAAAACTAAGGTTTATATAGTTTTTTATTACTATTAAAAAAACAAATATTAGGTTTTTATTATATAATTAAATAACAACTTTTTTTTTTTTTTTTTAAAAATTTATATATATTTTAGCATAATTATTATTAGTTTATTTACGCTATTAAAAAATAATATATTTTATTTTAATTGTTTATATTTTTAAAACGTTAAAGGTTTTATTAAAAAAAAATATAAAACGTTTTACGCCGGCGTAATTAATAATAATATTAACGTAAAGTTTAATATTTTATTTTAAAATAATTT